TACAGTTTTGTGAAGACAGCAGCATTGAAGGATGAAAGTTGAGAAGTATCGCATTCAGTGTGCCTGCGGCATTCTTGACCAGCCTCTGCATGTCAACGTCTCGGCCAGATCTCTCTCTCTGTCTCTGCCCTTTGCAACGTTGAAACAGGGAATTTATATCCGTCATATCAGCTCCAAATCACAGTCTGGGTCTTTTAGTGGGAGTTATTTCTACTGGCCAATATATATTTTATTTCATTCAATACCGAAAACATGTGTTGAGCCATGATGTGCAGAGACGCGTTTTCACATTCTGTCTTGGGTCGTCGAGAAGTCAACATCCAGTTTAGTGTAAGAGATACAACAGTATAAATAATAAATGTATTTAGTTCAGTTGTGGTCAGCAATGAAAAATGATTCCTTTTTTTTCTCATATGGAATTTAGGTTTTGTTATTTTTCAATGGGAAAGAAAATTAAACTAATTCTCAAAAAAAAAAAAAAAACACACCATAAAATCTCATAAAAAAAAGTCATCATTTTAATCAACAGAGTTGTTGCTATATTTCATTTGTGAATCTTGTTCCAGAACTTCGCTGGGTATTATTTAAATTTTCACTGTTATAAACATTTGCCCTCGAAATTGCCATTTGTTCGTTTGTCACTGAAATTAATTAGTTTTTTTGTATTTTTATACAACAGACTTAGTGATTTGAAACAGAAAGTAAACATTTTGTTTAATCTACATAATTTTGTATTTTCAAAGTGACTTCCATTTATTAAAAACATTGTGTTTGTTTATTTTTGAGGAAGAAACTATTTCCATTTAGGTAAGTAATATTCTTTCTTTCTATTTTTCTTATTTCAAATTTACTTTTGAAATTTTATTAAACTAGGGTAATGTTTGCACTTATCCTCCTAACAAGAAGTTAATGTTAATTCTATGCTTGTTTTTTCTTTTCTTTGTTTAATTTGAACTAGTTCATGTCTTGATTTTCGATATATTTAAATTAATTGAAAAATATAAATTTACTTCTGAAAATCATGTATGCTAGATCTGCTTTTTAGCATGTATACACTTTTTTGAAATTTCAGGTTCCCATTGAAGAACTGGAATAATTGAAAGCTCAGAGAGAAAAACAGGACTGAAAGCAGTTTCCAATTTGGAACTATTGACAAAGATGCTGGCAAAAATATAGAAAAGTACGGCTGTAGCAGAGAGATTAGACAAGCAGATTGAAAGATAGCAAGAGCAAGACTCTACACATGTTATCTCTACATCAGATATTTTCCACCTATGGCTTCTAGTGAAGAAGCAACTGATGACTGTCTTGAGCCAAGGAACTTACAGTCTTTAGATATTCCATGAAGCTTATTAAGGGTGACGTATCTTCTAACCTTGGAGCATGGCTTGCTAATGCCTTTTTATTAAATCTACAGGATATGGGCTTTCTTTATCCAAGCCTTAAATCTTATCATACAGGATACTATCATCAATAAATCAAAAATAGAGTAAAAGTAACCACCCCCCAGAAGCATGTTCAGAACCATGAAAATATCATCTGCATTGGTGCTAATTGAAGAGTTGATAAGGACAGTTTGCAATAAAACAGGAAACAATGAAAAAATAACCAAAGGACCAGAGCACCACTTGACTTTCCCCTGAGATGGACATGGAAAGTAGATCTCGACTACAGAGTTATCCCTAACATTAGTGCAGAGGATGTTGCTGCTGTTTTAGAAGAATTCAAGTGTAAATTCTATTAAGGCAGTTCTTGTGGACAATGCCAGTACAAACACTGATTGTGAGGCATGGCTTGTTACAGCTCTGGAGAAAAAACTTAAAAGAAAGTTGCACACTATTGACTGTTCACTTCATAAAAATGAATTTCCATTTAGAGCTGTTTTTAAATATGATGGAACTACAAAATCCCTACTAGAGAAACTTTGTGCAAATGATTACCAGGATTTCTCCCAATTAGAATTTAACACTAACAGTGTCCCTCTAGATAACTTACATCTTACTGCAGGGACCTTGAAAGATTTAAGTGGTGACCAGAGACTGCTCATAGAATATGCAGCAGGAATTTTTCGAGGGGAAAGTGAACCCTAGATTTGCTGCCTGGAAAATTGGGTCACTAAATCAAGCAAAATGTCTAACTTTAACCATCAGGTTAATGTGTTTATGGATCAGAGCTGCCTATCCACCAAAAGTCTATGATAAATTGTGCAGCCTTATAAAATTTATAGTTGGTTTGAAATTAAAAGGGATAATAAATTCTATAACCAACAACCATGTCTTCAACATGATCCAGAGAATAAATCAACAGTTGACTGAAATACAGAATGTTGCATTAAAAAATTTACAGCACAAAAATGTTTTTTGTTTCAGAAGTAGCAAGCTACCAAAGAAGAGATTAAAAAAAATTACTTTCAACTCTGAAGCAACACAATAGTCAAATTTGATTAACTTTCCATAAAATGGAGATTGTGAAACTGTGCTTGCAGAAGGTTTTTTAATTAATGAACTGCAAGAGGTATTAATGAATGAACATCATTGGAGTTGCTGATTTTACCTGTACACTCACAAAGTGTGGAAAGAGCAGTTAAATTGTATATGGACAAGGAACAAATGCATTATTAATAAATCATTGTGTCATTAAATATAAGTCCTTCATTTACTTCAAATGGAAATTATACTGAACAATTTAGGTATATTATAATGTAATATGTTAATACAGTCCAGTAGTTTTAGTGTGAGTTTTCAATAAAGAATCAAATTTAAAACATTTTGTTTTATAATTTGTACCCATGTATTTGTATTTATGGTGTTATATACATTTCTATCTATTTTTTGTTTTTATTAATTATGATCTATCAAATTGTGTAAGATCTTATTCATTGATTAGTCTTTTTTGTGATCTTTTATAATTTTTACTTAATTTTCACTTATCGAATGTAGTAAAAAATTGTATATTTTACTTGTGGTGATTCATAATTAGAATTCTGGTTTTCCATTCAATGCATCTAATACAAATTTATTTGGATTTACTCTTGAAATAGTAAAATTCTGAAGTCAGTTTGTAAGCAAAATCAGTAGAAATTAGGTATTTCCGTACATTATTTTTTTAGACTAAATGTTCAAAAATTGGTAAAATCTATGAATCTAATTTTTTTTTATTCATCACATCAAACCCCCGCTTTCACACTGAGTGCAGTGTTGATTTTCTAATACCACATATCCTGTTATTTAACCCATAGTTTGGGGTGGAGAAAAATGGATTAATACCTTTTCCAAAGGCATTAGTGTGGAAGTGAACACAACTAGGTGGGAATTTGAACTTTTATATTTTTTTTTTTTTTTTTAAATTTATAATTGCCAGTTCCACTTTCCTTGTGGATATCTGTTACTCTACCCACACATGTATAGGGGATATGTCAATTAGTATTCACCTTTTGTGTCAATTATTTCACTGAACAAACAACACTACTAGTCACAGGGCTTGAACTCGAAACTGCCATGGAGCCAAATATGTTTAACTAAGCTATGTGTTATTAACATAATTTAAGAATTCACATCTCGCACCGCTATTCTGTGCAGGTGGGGCTAAATTCTGCCCTTCTTCCTTCCTTCTCAGTATTCTAATTCTGCCCACTTAACTTTCTTTGTGACAAATCTAATTTTTAAAATGTGTAAGAGAATGGGCATTGTTTATTCTCCTCATTAATTTTGATTCTCTGACACCTTTCGCACAAACCAGAACACCTTCTTGATTCATGTTTGATCTTCATAACCTCAACCTTAAGAAAAAGGGCTCATTCTTTGTTTTCATTTTTGTCAATGAAAATATGATTCTCATCTGATTCTCTTTCCATTAATAATGTGTTTTCCTAATTTCCCAGAAAGAGATAAACTTATTTCCCAATTTGTTTTTGTGAATGAAAATATATTTGTTTACCTAAATTCTCAACAAAGAGACTCTCTGTTTTCCATCCCTGGGCCAGTTGCTGTTTCAGCAAAGACACAAGCCAGATCACCAGCCTGTTATGATGGATCAATTTTCATAATCTTAACCCTCGCAGCTGGTTCATTCTTTATTTTCATTTCTTAATTCATTTTCACTAACAAAAATATAATCTTCATCTGCTTTTCTGTTCACCAGTGACATGTGTTTTCCTGATTTCCCAAGAAAGATAAAATTGTTCCCCAAATCTGTTTTCATCCACATACCAGACTCTTGATAGGTATGAAAAATAAACTTTAGATGAGAAGAAATCCAAACTGTCCCATTCTCACCAAAAAAAATGTCTCCACTCTCTCTTCTAGCCTATATTTCATTCTGGGCTTAACCTTTTGTTTTCCTGCTTAGAATTAATGTTTAACCACTTCACAGACTTAGTGTTGCATTAAAAGCAATAATAATTTTAATAAAATCCAGTGCATTTTATCCATTCTCTTTTCTTCAAAGGAATTGACAGCTAAAGTATTAAACACTATTAAACACACAACATATTTGTGTTGTGAATTCTTGAGAAAAAAAAATATAAATCCAGATGTTCACAAATTTAGGGAATTTATGTAAATGAAAGAAATGCCTGAAAAATGCATTATTTTTTTTTTTATTTTTTTTTTTTATTTTATAATTACAGTTGCTCATCGTTATGTGTTTATTTAAATTTTCTTTATAATACGATGAATGATATTGCATTGTAGTTGGTTCACATATTTTTATAAACTTATAAATATAAAATCCTTCTTCTAAATAAAATAAAGTGATTAATTCTTTTGTCAATTATCAAGAAAAAATAGAGAATGCATAAATCCAGTTTTATATGTTTGGCTTTTAAGATTCTAAAAATATCTTTTTAAAAGAATAGAAATTGCCAACAGAGGGTAATAGTGGGTGTCAAGAGAAAAACCATCCTTTTGACACTCTGTTTTTTGTAAGTATGAATGTTTAACTTTGCTGTATTTTTCCTATTCCTAACACTTTTCTGTAATCTTTTCATTTTTACTCCCCAGGTACCAACAAGTGTCCAAAAAATACTCAATGCAAGAAATTCAGTAAAATATACAAGTCAGCCAAAGACTTTTGTGAGAAAGTTTGGGATTATAGTTGGAAAGTGGTACCTCAAGAAAAGCCATGCTTTAGAGTTTGGTTTAATGAAGACCACAACCCTAATGATATTGTGGCCTTACAGAAAGCTGTGCAAATGTTCTCTGGTGGCCCAAATATCAGCTACATATCTCTTTTATTGATTGTTTCATTTCAGGCTATTTATGTTAGTATTAACTCATTTTGAGGACAGTGTTAACAGGTTATAGGTAGATGAATATTGGATTTTTATTTAAACTGTTAATAGTTAATACAGGATTTTACAGTGAGCTTTAATAAATTAGTACAAGATGTACAAAAAATTTTAAATTAGCATACAACATGTTACTTGAGAGATAACTATATTTCATTTATTTTTAAGACCCTAAATTAATCGATCTTTCTTCTTTTTTTCTTTTTTTTTTTTTAATGTAATTAATACATTTACTGTTAGTATATATGGTAAATTTGCTTTTTAAGCTCCGCACTAAATATCTATTAAAATTTTCCCAAATTGTCATATTTCCATGTAAATGTACATGCTGAACTCGAAATAACAATTAAATTTTGATAAAACCTACCATTTTCGGAGTTATCGACAATAAAATTTAGGACTCAGTCGCATTCAGCCATCGGCCATTACTGGCCTTGTTTAACTACATTCACTGCAGAACATTTTGCACACGGAAGCTTAATTAATGGCCTTTTTACTGTTAACTCATCTTACTCATCTAAATTACTGCACACTTAAGCTGTGTCAGAATGTGATGACAAGTGTTATTTTTTTATAGTAAACCCCTTTTTCTGTGTAGAAAAGCAATGACAACTGTTGTAAAGAGCATGATTATCTACAAAATAAAATTACAAAATAAAAAAAATGCTAGAAACTAAATAATTAATGCGCAAACTTTGGTCATTAATTATTATTTCCTTTCTAGCAATTTTTTTTTGTAATTTTATTTTGTAAATATTCATGCTCTTTACAAAGTTTGCTCATTAATTATTATTTGTTTTAAATTTAATTTAAAATAAAAGCTTTACAACAGTTGTCTTTGCTTTTCACTTAAGTGGTGTAAAATAAATTGACTGAATAGGTGTAAAATCAATAAGACCAAGATATATACAATTATTACAATTAAGCATTACAATGGGTAATGGTGGACTACACAGCAAATAAATGCAGAAAACATGGGGCTGTTCTTGTACTGCAGGATCCACAAAATGCTGTTGATGAATAATGACGTCATGACAGTATATTTCATGGTTGATTTCCTCAATTACAGCATAAGCAGTCCAGCCTCTTCAAACAACATGGCTTCCAGGCTGAATATCCTGCACAGTCAACTCTTTCAGAGTCTCTGCTTGCTGATCTAGCACCTCAACTAAGAAACACTTTCTTGAGAACTGCTTGATACCATCAAATACCCAAATGTCAGGGTGCCATTGGCCATGGTGATATTTATGATGAAAAAATATTTAAAGATATAAATGACAGTTTATTTTATGCTATTTTAGAGAACCAGAACTTTGACAGATTATTTTATGTCATGGTTTTTGTTTAATTTTCTTTCTTGCTAAATCATGTTACTGTTAAAAAAAATATGTCTAACAAATATTGAATAAGTTTCTTTATATATGAATTTAAATAATTGTGGAGCATAAGGATAATTTCTTTTTAAAAAAATTTACTAGTGTTTCAATCGATTAAAATAAAATATAAAAATAATATATATAAACAAAAAAGAAAAATTAAAATACAGTATTTGTGCTTTCCTTTAAAACACTCATCTCTTTCTTTCTCTCTAAACTTCTCTTTATATATTTCTCTCTTAAATAATCAGAAGGCAATCCTGAAGTAAAAAAGAAGATTGAACCTGGCTGCAAAATGATGGAAGTTTGCTTAACCAGAGTATAGCCATTTGTGACTAAAAACTACTAAAAATCAGAGGCTCCATGCATAACTTCCATTAAATAAAAAAATTGAAAAAGAAAGGAACGCTGGAAAATAAAATAATTTTGGCCAATCAAAAAAATTAACACAGAAAATTTTGATGTTAGCCAAAACCAAGATTCACGCCAGTAGTCTGGAAGCCTTGTCAAAAAGATATAAACTGACTGCTGACCTATTTCTAAGATGATTTCTACTATTACCAATTTCTGATTTTGAAACTGCCCACTGAAGTCGACATTTCTCCAGACTGCTACCAAGATCTGCCTTATAAATTAACATTTTGCTACACCAAATATCAAAGGACTCACTTCAGTCTAAATCAAATAAATATATATTATTTGTTTATACCTTATACCCTTGAGTCAGTTCATTTTATTCCAAAGTTTCTGATAAAATAATTACCAAGTGTCTCTGGCACAAATCTCCACAGATAAAATATGTTTTTAGAAAGGTGTTCTATTAACTCTGTATTTACCCTACAATGATATGTTAAATGAAAACCTATATTCTCAAAGTTAGTTCTTGAATGGCCTCTTTAAAATTACAATATATATATATATATATATATATATATATATATATATATATATATTTTTTAAGATATTAGAACAAAAAACATACACAATAGCTTTTGTGTTTCAGTACTATGTTGTATCTCTTCAGGCAAATGGTGATTAAATAATTTTTTTTAAATTTCAAAAGCAAAATGTTACCTCTTTTTTGAAAGATAAAGTGGGGTAAGAAAACATGATCAGAATTAAAAATAGACTTGTGGGTTTGTCTTGATCAACCAATTAAATGTCAGAAATAGAAAATTAAGCTCAGAGTTGAAGTGGAGGGGTTATTTTTTTCATGACATGATAAACTGGAACTTAGGTCATCATTGACAATTACCGGAAACATGTAAGCAGCAAACGTATTGTAATTTTAGATAAATATGACATGTTCAGTTTTTCAAAGGATCCTGAGGGGAAGGGAAAGAGATTAATCAGATATAAAGTTAATTTCAAAGGAAAAAAATTTTTTAAATTTTCAGATTCAGGAAGCTTCTTAAAGGGACCTGTAGATAAAAATGTGGAACATCTATATATGATATAAATGGACAGCAATGCATAGCAGTACTAAATCTGAATAAACAAGATAATCACTTGTAGAGGGTGGACCACCATACTTATAAATTATGGCCATAAGAAATGGAATTACCTAATTTTTTAAAAATCTAATTGTATTGTAAAAGATAAACTGTGTTGGCAATTTACAGTTAATTCACTTCTTTGGTTTAGCAGAGATTTTTTTGTCAGCAAATCGGATAATTTCTAATTTTTCATGTTTCGTAAACAAGGTTCATTTAAAGATTTATGGGTGCTAGCTTCTTTTTAGTATTTTCTATTTTACCATAGGAGTTTTCTTAACTTATTTAAATTCCAAAAATATTTAGAAAGGGACGTCATATTTTTGTAAGCATTATTGGTGAAAGATAATACATGTTTTAAAAGAATTCTTGGTACTCCCAATATGAAATCTTTTAACTTGGATTTTCAATAGTAGAAATAATGCAAGAGAGTCAATAATGCAAGAGAGTTTTGCAATAGGTATTGATTAGAATTTCTACAATTGCACATGTTGGTATTATCAGTGTTTGTTGATTTTGAATGGCTATTACTCAGATTTTTGTATTGGTTTAAAATTGTATGTTTTTAAGAATTTTTTCAAGATTATTTGTACAGCTATAGCTTAGTTTTAGTGTATTTCTGTTTAAAAATTTTACTGAGTGGATTATTTCTGGGGATGTGTTTATCAATTAAATGGAGGAACTTATGCCCTAACATAGTACTAATCAAATGATTTTCCTGTTTCTATTCTTATTCCTATGAGCACTGTTTTTATGTTTTATATATATGATGTCAGTACACTTATAGCCACTATTTTTTATGGCAGCGTTGTAAACTTTATTATGCTTGTAAAAGACATCTTCACTAGAAGAGTTATTGCTAATCTTATATTCTCTAGAAGAGAGTATGCATTTGATTACAGATGGAGGGTGCTTAGAATTTAGGTGGATGTATATTGGATTGGCATTTGTTTTAATGTAGGGTTGCAATACATTATTAACTAGGTCTAATGTAACATCAAGGAAATCTACTTTTACTTGTGTTGATCTTAACTTTAACTTTAAGGTTAAGACTTCTAAATTCTCTGTGTATTAATTTTCTGACTTTATCAGCTTTAATTTTTGTGGAATTTTTCATTAACATAAGGTCATTATCTCTATATAACCCTATATTATCAATGTTAATATCATCTTGGCATTAAGGTAAATAAACCAACAAGATCTTAAGACCCAGCAGAATCTAACGATCCCATGGAAATATCAAATTGATCAACAAAATTGTTCTTAATCCACTGTTCTTTGTTATGGATGAGAACAGATCTTCTGCAGTTCATAATCTCAAGCTCCTTGTTGGAAAGATCTGAATATTCCCTGGCAAACTTCAAAGCCAAAGTAAAAAGATCCCTGGATAAAAATCCACAATATCAAATTGGATAAATGAACAATTTTTTTTATCACTTATACCACTGAACCAATGGTATTAATCCACTGTAAAAGTCTAAGACACCTTCTAATCAGCTAGTTGACTATCAAGGATGAGCTTGCTAATCCTTCCAATTTCAGGCTTAGTATGGTTGATAATTCTAGTAGGAAGATTAACCTCAAAATCAGTTTTATGATTCTTGATCAGGACATAGGATTCTTTAGTGTAGAGTTTGCTTACTCTGTTGCTGATTTTGAGCTTGTTGGTTATAATTTTACTCATTGCATTAATTTTGTCAACTAAATTAGCAATATTATCTACTTTTCTTTAATTTTTAGTTTTTTTTTTTAGTTTTTTTTTTAATTGAAATATTATAATCCTTAGGAGTAAACTTGTAGAAGTTGATTTGACAAAAACCTTGTTGGACAAATGAATGTCTTTTAGTCCAGATGCCTCTGAAAATGATTTTTATATGCACACACACACACACACACACACACACACACATATAGAAAGAGAGAGACACGCACACACTTATTATTTGGTTTCTGTAGCTGTAATAATTATAATTTGTTATTGATCCCACTTTATGAATGTAAATATGACATGGGGAACTAGAACAATTTACCCTGGTGGATGAAATAAAGAGTTCGGTTCAAATATGCCAAATGAAACCAAGAAGTTTAATGAACTATGTTAATAATATAATAATAAAAGGTCATATATTGTAGATTAATTTATTAAGAAAATTAAAATGAAACAAAACTTGTCAGCTATAATTTTACTTGTTGCATTAATTTTATCAACTAAATTAACGCTATTATTAACATTTCTAACAAAAATACAATCAGCTTCTCTAAGTTTTTGTTATTGCAATTTTTGATTAATTTTAATTATGATAATTGATAAATTTTAATTTTAAATAAGATTTACATTGTTTCCAAAATGTCAACATCTCATGGAATTGAAATACAGAAGGTGCTGCTGATCCCTTTAGGACAGGGTTTTTTAGATAACATTAAGGAAAGGATAAAAAATTGGAACCTTTGAATTTATTGTTTATAGACTTGGTGATTGGTATTAAAGTGTCTTTTATTGGCCAGGCTATTTTGTGTCTTAAAAAAAAAACAATTGTAGTTTAAAGAATATAAATGACTCAAAAATTGTAGTGCAAGAGAAGTTTTTTCCCTTGTTCTGTCAATTATGAGCAGTTGATATCCACGTCAAGAAAAAATCTAAAGAAATAAGAATTTTGCAAGAATATCAAAAAGATAGGTCATCATTTAGACAATTTTTTTTTTTTTTTTTTTAATTTTTAAACTCGACCTTCATCCCCTAACCATAGTGATTCGGAAAACTAGTAGGGCAGACCGCGTTAGCTCCCTCAAATGACAATAACCTAAAATTTCAATAGATAAGTGCATATTTAGTGTAACGGAACTAGATTTTCTAGGCCATTACGTCAGTAAAAACGGTTTGCTACCTTCACAAAAGAAAATTAAAATTATTGAAAATTTTCCTAAACTAAAAGATTCTAAAAGCGATTTTTAGGAATGGCAGGTTTTTACCGAAAGCTTATTCCAAATTATGCAAGCATTATATCACCGTTATTTGAACGCATGCGATTAAATCCTAGATCAGTATTTGAGGTAAATGAACGAGAATCTAACACATTTGATGATATAAAAAATAAGTTGGTAGAGATAACAGCATTAGCACATCCCTAATCTTCAAGAACAGAGTACCAGTTAGTAACTGATAGCAATCAATACGCAGCTGGTGCAGCTTTACATCAAATAGTAGACAAACAACCTATACCAATTGGATTCTTTTCCAAAATATTTTCACAAGCACAGACAAAATATTTCACGTTCGATCAAGAGCTTCTCGCAGATCTCCGTGCTGCATTTTCGCCACCTCATAGAGGGTCGCAGTGTAGTGCTGTTTATAAGCCATTGTGCGGGGCATTTCATAGCCAGACCCCAGCGAAATCCGATTGACAGCAACGTCATCTTTCAGTATTATCTGAATATATATCGGATATTATATACATCAGAGGCGAACAGAATATAGTTGCGGACTGTCTATCTAGACCTGCGCTCATAGTTCAAATAGACTTGTGACTTGTGAGAGATGGCACAGAAACAAGATGACGAAATCAAGTCACATAAAAATCTAAAGGAATATAATATTTCCCCTAAAATCGGATCCATATTATGTGATATCTCCACTATACACCCTGGAATAAGTGCCTCTTTGAAATTATTAAAAGCAATATATTTTTGGCCTGCACAGAATGTGTTGTCTGTCAACAATCCAAGATTCACAGACACACCAAGTCTGCTGTGCAGAATTTTGAATTACCTTCAGCAAGATTCCAAACTGTAAATATCGACATTGTCGGACCGTTGCCGCTAACACAAAGGGAATTTGAACAATATATCAGCTCTTATCGATATTTGATCATGCGACACGTTGGATTGAAATATGATAGAAATCACTACAAAGTCAGTAGACCAACCTTTCATTGATGCATGAATATCGCGATTCGGCGTACCACTATACGTTGTCACTGATTGTGGTCGCCAATTTGAAAGCGAATTATTCCAAGAATTAATAGAAAGAGCACATCGCACATTAAAAACAGCAAAAATAGCTCGAAAGGAATCTTGGCTAACCACCATATCCATTGTACTTTTAGGAATTCGTAGTACTTCAAATGAATCTAATTTTGCACCATTCACGGCACCAATACTGATCTATTACCAATTAGTTGACAATGCAAATATTAAAGACATTGCCCCTGTGCAGGAAGAGCATATAAAAGAATTATGTAAATCTATGTCACAATTAGACATGTTAAATGACGACAGAAAACATATTACACGAACAAACAGCTTCATACCAAGTTCTTTACATACTTGCGATAAAGTATGGCTTCGAGTAGATCGAGTACGAAAACCTTTGGAGGCACCTTATACAGACCCTTACAAAGTTTTACAACATTCACCGAAGTATTACTTAATATATTTAAATAATGACATACATACACACGTATCAATCGACAGACTAAAACCATATCTATATATAAGAACGTAAAAATAGTCCCAAATTACAGGCAAAATCAAATAAATGCACAGACAATGAGAAAAATGTTACTACCAGTACGTCTGATGAAAATAGTACAAGCAGTAATACCAAATCGTACACATCTAAAGCAAGTAGACGTATCATATGGAAAAAACCGAATAAGTACTACTATTTTAAGTTAAAAAAAAAAGAAGATAAGTTACCAATTATAGTAGTAGAACTGAATCATACCAAAATTTATTCACTCCATGTCTGAAAAAGGGGACTGTATAGTAGAATTGGGTAGTAATAACACCATACGAAAATATACACTTTCCTCTTTACTAAGTGACTGACGAAGAAAACTCTCTCTCCCTCTCTTCTATATATTTCCTTTCCTTCCTTCTATTGTTTCTATCCTCGGTAATGGACTTAGTTTATGTGGGTCAACCAATGACAACACGTCCCGCCAAAAATCAAACGGGAAACAAAGATGTGTCAAACCCAATAAAAAGAAGAAAACCACGTACGAAACTAGAGACGAAACTTGATTCCTACAGAGGAACTTGATTCGGGGTAGCGGTTCGAGACGCAAGGCTTGGTGATTCATCAGCTGACGTACAACTCCAGAAGAGAAAGAAGAAAGGATGAATGCAACGAATTAATTTCTATCAACCAGAAGGAACACAACAACCCTGTATGAACTCTCAAATCACAAAATGAACTATGACGATAGTCAACCATTGTAAACACTGTAACCAAATTGAATCAACAAAATTTGGCCTTTACTTCATCTCTATATACCATAAGATAAACAGAAAAAGGCAGATCATATGGTATACTTCTGCATACAATCAATTAGTGCTCGCTAAATCAGGACATAAATTGTTAGAATTAGTTGTAAAGCATTTCCCTAAGAAGAGCTCTCTGAGGAAAATTTTCAACCGTAACACTCTAAAACTTAGGTATAGTTGCACAAACAATTTAGAAAAAAAATTAAATCACATAACACTAAAATATTAAAATTATATAACAAAAGTAACAGGTATAGTAGGGCTGACCCTACTGTGTCTCCTACTTGTGTAATTGTAAAAAAATCCCAACCAGTGCCTGTTATCCAACAGGTGTTTAACAAAATCCAGAGTATACGGGTGTGCTATTACCTCGGTTGAAAATCCCGGAACTTCTGAACGCTTTTACATCGGAAATACAATGAATGATTTCAAAAAGAGCTTTTATAACCATATTTCATCTTTTAATAACGCAGATAAACGAAGCATGACTTCACTTTCTAAGTATTTTTGGGAATTAAAAGACAAAGTTAAATGGAAAATCCTAAAACAAGCTAGAATCTCAAGAATCATGCTTTCTGTGCCTACAGGAGAAAATACAAATAATTAAATACTCGAACAAATCGGAGATATGAAACGGCAATAAATTGTAAACATACAAAGGAATTAACCTTACAATCTTACTAAAGAAATTTCTAATCTGCGAACGAATCCTCTTATGTTTATTATGTTTATGAACATAGCCTCGTAACCACCATCAATATAGCCTAGTTGTAGTTGTATTGTTGCAGCGTTAAGCAGGTGCTGTTAACTCCGCAAGCAGAAAAATAATGTAGGGTAATACGATCGAAGCAAGGACAACAAAGGCGAGGATGTAAAAGTTTAAGCCAAATTTTATTTAATAATCTGGCAAAAGTATGTACAGGAAATTGTTTGCTGGAGTTCGGTCGTGAAGTTAGAGAGTGTCAGTTGAAGGAACGTTGTCAGGTTCAAGGCGACAGCTCAGAGGTAGGCAGATGGAACAGCGGTGTTCGAGGTCCAGTCGATCCCCGGATGTAAAGCGTCGGCGCTTAAGAAGAGAGAGGATCGACGCGGACGGCGCTGGTGTAGTCTGTTCGTCCTTGGTATGACAGTCGTGCAAGATCGCAGCTTGGTAGTTCTAATAAAAGGACATTTGTAATAATGTGGCTAGATTAGTCCTGAAAAGGACTATCGCAAATCATGTAGCCGGGTATAGTCCTGATAATGTAGCCCGCTGCTGCTGCGAGGTTTGGCTGCTTCGTGTGGTCAGCGAATATGAGAGGAGGAGCTCGTCGCTCTACCCCGAGGCCAAACCCGCCAAGAGATATTTACTTGACCCCCACTGAGTCAGGATGTGACACAAGGTCGGTTTAACGTGGGAGACCCGAGTGTTTCCACTCCAAAACTGGTCACAGCATGTCCAAGCTGGTCTGAGCTTAGTCAAAGCTGGTCATGGCTTGTCTTAGCTGGTCCAGGTCGGAGCCACTCCAAGCTAGTCGTAGCCGTGATCGAATCTCAGCCAAAGGCCGAGAAACGATCCAAATCCGCCAAGGATATTTACTTGACTCCCACAGGGTCAGAATGTGACACAAGGTCGGTTTAACGTGGGAGACCCGAGCGTTTCCACTCAAGGGCCACTGGTCCAAAACCGGTCATAGCATGTCCAAGCTCGTCAGAGCTTAGTCAAAGCTGGTCATGGCTTGTCCTAGCAGGTCCAGACCGAAGCCAGTCCAAACTAGTCGTAGCCGTGATCGAATCTCAGCCAAAGGCCGAGAAACGATCCAAATCCGCCAAGAGATCTGGTGGAAGAAATCGGCTGTTTATGTAGGCTGAGATCAGCATCGTAGCTGGTTAGCAATATCTTTGGGGTGATGATTGAAAATTACCTTCTTTCTTTTGACTGTACACATGGGTTTCCTTCGGTGTATATAAAGTAGTTTCTGGTAATTATTTTTTAGTTAGGAACGCTCGTGTATATTAATGTTTCATTTGTTTTGAGTTTTTGTGAATCGTTCTCTGAAAAACGCTGAGTCACCGGAAGTTAACGGCATTCGTTCTGTTTTCCGCGGTGACGCTTTTAGACGTTTGAGTAGCCGGCAGTAACTTCCGGCCGGGTGCGATAGTATTATATTTCATTTTAATTTTACTTTGAAATTTAATCCTAGACCTAAAATATATTCTAACTTATTCGTACTTCTGTAAGTTAACCGTAATATGACTGTCTTAATTTTATTTTGGTTGCTTTCATTATTTACCATTATTTGCTTTAGACATTGTTACTTAACCTCTTTAATAATACTTTATAATTAATATTAATAAATTAATATAATAATATAGAAATTTAAAAATGTTCGTTCACATTCGTAAAAACAATACACATAAAATTAGCAGCCTCCATCAACGGAATGCAAAGGTTAGGAACTCTGACTGGCGCCGAATCAGTCGGGTTTCGATCCAAGCTCATCTATATCTCCCGTTCTTCTATTTTACCTTTCAATATGCAATAACATCAGTTCCCTTTTCTAACTTAATTCATTGAAATTTGAAGGTTAATATTACTATTAATGTTATTTTACCTTTATTTCTACTCGATTACACCACCTATTTATTTTTTAAAAAATTTATTCGTTCTATTACTTGAATTATTTTTCTCTTTAATAACGCTTTACACTAAAAAAAAAACAAAAAACGAAACCTTAAAATATATGTAGTATCCTAATTCATATTGTAAAGTAAAATTTGGTTAAGTATATTTAATATGACAATATAAAGATTTAAGATCGGCTTAGTATTCCAATCTATATTAGAAAGTCCGTTTCATAAAATACTATAGTACTCTTTTACATTCCATGAACACATTCCGAGCACAGAAAGTTTTTATGTTAGAAACATTAACCTAGCCGTTTAAATTCGAATTCTGTGATTCGACGGAATTCCATTGGTTGAATTTGTCCCTTCTTAATTTATCTCACCTTCCTCGCCCTTTTTCAACCTTTATTTCCTTTTCTTGGCCTTTTTCCTCTTATTTCTCTTCTCTTCTCTTCTCTTCTCTCTCTCTCTGTTATTAATCACTTAGCTTCTTTTCTTTCTCCACATGTAAATTTTTTTTTTTTACCTTTTATGGGAACCTTTCCAATGACGGAAATGGAAGATGTGCTTCGTTAACTGCATTTCATTATAAAATATTTTAGTAACATCGTGATTTCCCACCTGATAAAACGTTAAAAACTATTTTTAACGTTGAAACAAGATGAACAGTTTTGTAGTGGGTATATACATGTTCTAATGTAACACTGCATTATAAATAAATATTTATTGCTCTATTTTTTGCATTGAGCCCTGTTTTAAATTAATGTTTTGAACGCTGAAATCTTACTTTTCGTTCTTTTACATTTGGATATATATATATATATATATATATATATATATATATATATATATATGTGTGTGTGTTTGTGTGTGTTTGTGTGAGCGTATATATATATATATATATATATATATATATATATATATATATGCATGTATATATGTGTGTATGCTGATTCATGTGCAAATAGGGGGCATGCAGGTTCACACGCACACACGATACACAGAAATGGAAATAGATTTGACAGTCTCAGAGGTGATGTGCGAATAGTGGGGTGCATCTATCATCAAAACATCTGTCATCGCCACCACTAACACCAAACCTAATGATTTTATTATCACTTAGGCAGAAAATGAGATTAAGGCTCACTACAAATACTGAAAATGAAAATGAAGTATTAAAAGAACATAAGGAAATTTTATTCCTTTAAAAATTGGTTCCTTTAATTTGCCTGAAGAAATTCACAAGACTGTAAACACGAGTAGCAAAAATATGACGAACAAAAATATGAATATAATATATACACTAAAACAAATCCGCATTATAACCAAAAATGTTTGCGGTTTCTCTCGTTTATATATATATATATATATATATATATATATATATTGTTACGAACTTGTAGCATATAGATGAACCACGGGTTCTAAAAAAAAGGAAAACGTGGTTTCTTTTCTCGGTCTTCACTCAGAAATGGAAGCGACACAAGGGAATCAACGAAGAACAGACACAAGACGATGGATTTCAAAATTAAACATTTATTTATAAATATATATATAACGAAACAAAGAAAAAAAAAAAAGAACATTCATTTAACAAAGGGGGAGGACATCATTAAAGAATAGAAGGCGCGAGCGAATACATACATATATGAAAACAGATCAAGCCAAAAGAACCAACTTATCTTGCAGTCGGGCTGATATCTTCACATAAAGTTTTGATTCGCCGAAGCGAGAGTTCTGATGATAAAACAGTATCTTGGCCGGCCGACAATGTTCCTGGATTCTTCTTCTTTTCGCGTGTGTTCGTGGGTCCCCAGCATTTCATACAGGCATTTGGTTGGGTTGATCAGTCCATAGCAGTCCTTCCATCACTAGTCGATAGACTTTTTGGTCTTCCTCATCTCAGTGGGCGGTCTGACGATTTTTGCCCAGCGACGTTCAACTGCCGCTGGTTAGAGGGAAACTAAAAAACCCTTTTTTGGTTTTCGCTGTCCCCAAAGACAGTCACGTGGGCTCCCTTCGTCCTTGACCGGGTACGCAGGAGAATAGGGCGCAAATCACGCAGTGCTTGTGTGATGGCCAAAAGTTCAACGCATGCTCCGTACGTCCTGATCACGTGAATCGCAGCAGGAGACCCTGATGGTGTCTGGAATTCACTCATGGTCAAACGCGAAATCTTGGAACCAGGTCATCCTCGCGTCGGGTCACTTCTAAGTTCACGGGCCCTTGGCTCGTGGGTGGAAGAGGATAAGGAGAGAAAGAATTTGTGAAGAGAAGAGGGGTGTATGGCTGATCATAGAATATATTCGCTCGCGAATCGGAAGCATTGGATTAAATTTCTGTTTTTATCTATTTATTTATCTTTCTTTTATATCTAACTAGTTTTCTCTTTATTTAAGATTTTACTTTAGCCTAACGCCTATATGGTTAATGAAATCGTTGCTACGTGACAATATATATATCTGAATATATGTGTGTGTGTGTGTATCAGTATAAAAAGAAAGAACAGTCAGATTTATAATCCACAGTTCTTTAGCATTTATGTTTATAAGCAGTGCTTGATACACAGTAGAGCATAATATAATATTATTATTTAAAAATATGTATTCATCGCGACACAAAAATTACCACGTTTCCGAACTAAAAACTAAAGTTTAAAACAAACTCAAAATTAAAGTTTTTGTTCCATTCTCAAGTGATGTAGAATAACTTATGTGACACTATTTACCTATGGTAATTGCCTAACTAATTAATCATAGAAATTAAAACAGAAAATAGATATTCTTAAAGCGAAAAAGAGCTATCTCGAAAGACAGACTGACGATGAAAAAAAAAGATTTTAATTCTATTTACAAAAAAAAAAAAGATACTTTTCACAAAAGACAGTAAAGGCCACGTGTGAGGTCTTGTTGATTTATGTCTCGTCGAGGGAGATAGAAAGAATTAAGATTTCGGCCCAAACACGTGCCAGTCATAAAAAATTCGGCTTGAGACGATCGCAGATACAGGACAAGGAGAATCAATGTTAATTATCTTTCCAAGATATCGTTTGTTTGTTTTTTTTTTCTTGGATACAAGCGAAGAGAAGCAATGTGGCAATTATACAATTTTGGCATTGTCTCGATATAGGTGAGAGGATTGTTATCATTTACTTTACCAACAGACGCTAAGACGTTGACTAGCAATGTGGCAATTGTAAAATTTTGGCACAAGATAGAAAATAGATTGGAGAATTGAGATTTGGCGAGATAAAAGAATGTAATTTCTTAACAAGTCAAGGATTCCATTATAAAGCTAACTTGACGTAAGGACCAGATGACAAACATTGACAGTGGTTGATGAGTCGGTAAAGTTGCTGGCTAAGTGACTTTTGGGTGGCCCAGGAAAAAGAGAAGATATGATAGAAATTTAATTGGCAATGTGGAATTCGTAAAAACGTTGCAAGTGAGCTGGGAACGATAGAATTGGTATTGAAACGGTACAGCTGATGAAGCCGTTAACATCGACGAACAGGCTTCGA